TTTATGAAGTGTCGAACCCCAAAATATTTTTTTTACCTTTTTAGCGGTGAGTCGTACCCCCCTCAAAATCGTTCAGACCCAAAAATTAAATGCACCCCTCTCAACTCCCGCTCCCTCTCCCGAAATAGTTTTTGCATCCTTACAGAGGTGAGCTTGACCAACAAGTAATTGTGCAAACCCCCGAAACTTGTTTCTACCACCGTTAACTCACAGTCTGACCCCCGAAATAATTTTTGTTACCTTAAAGTGGTCGGTTGTACCCCCCAACTTATCGTTTCGAACCGAAATTGATTTCTACCTCCCTTTACGAAGTGTCGGACCCCCAAAATTATTTTTTACCCCTTTAGCAGTGGGTCGTACCCCCCGCAAAATCGTTCAGACCCCAAACTTAAATTGCACCCCTCTCAACTCCCGCTCGCACTCCCAAAATAGTTTCTGCACTCTTACACATGTGAGTCGGACCCCCAAGTAATCGTGCAAACCCCCAAAACTAGTTTGTACCCCCCTTAAGTCACAGTCCGACCCCCAAAATCATTCTTGTTAGCTTAAATCGGTCGGTCGTACCCCCCAAGTCAACTTTCCGACCCGAAATAAGCTTCTACCCCCCTTAACGAAGTTTCGGAACCCCAAAATAATTTCTCTCCCCTTTAGTGGTGAGGCGTACCCCTGAAAAATCCTTCGGACTCCAAAACTAAATGTACCCCTCTCAACTCCCGCTCGGTCTCCCAAAATAGTTTATGCACTCTTACACAGGTAAATCGGACCCCCAAGTAATGGTGCAAACCCCCAAAATTGGTTTCTACCCCCCTTAAGTCACAGTGCGACCCCCGAAATAATTCTTGTTAGCTTAAATCGGTCGGTCGTACCCTCCAAATCAATGTTCCGACCCGAAATCAGCTTCTACCCCCCTTAACCAAGTGTCGGACCCCAAAACAGTTTTTGTTACACAGGTGAGTTGGACCCCCAAGTAACTCGAACTGCTATATCTATGCATGCCTCATTCTAGAGGAAGCCAGAAAAGTGGCCCACAAACACAACTACATTGCAGGGTTTCACACAAATTTCTCCTTGATTGAGAAATTGTAGTGGTGGCAACAAGCGTTTGTAGAGAAGGGTTTCAAAAAGACGACGGGCACAAAGCAAGCTTGATTGCTGTAGGAAACTGATCTGTTGCTGCAGGTTGCAATGCACTCCAAAGAGGTTTTGGGACTGCAGCTTAAGATTTTTTAGCTTCGGGATAAGGGGGAGTGTTGGAACCAAAAGATGAAGAGCGAAAATAGCAGAAGTCGCACATTCTGTCTCCCAGTACTCAAACTGGTACACCTACGCATGCCTCACTGTAGAGGAAAGCAGAAAAGTGACCCACGAACACAACTACATTGCTGGGTTCCACGAAGACTTCTCCTGGATTGAGAAGTTCAAGTGCTGGCAGCAAGCGTTTGTAGAGAAAGCTTTCAAAAAGACGGCGGGCACAAAGCAAGTTTGGTTGGAGGAGCTCGGTCTACGCAAACATCACTCTAGAGGAAGCCAGAAAAGACTGGCACGTGTTTTAAGAACACAAGAAACAGGAGCAAGGCACGAGCGCCCTCAAGCTGTCAGAAACTTTAAGGCATTACACCTTAGATAAGATAACCCCTTTTGGAAGTCCTCTGGAAGGAGAGCACAAAAGGGAAAAAAGATAGAAAAATGTCTTAGAGGCAATTGCGAATGGATGAATTGATGGAAACGAACACTGTTAAAAGCGGGCAGTGGAGAATGTATAGACAAGTATTCGTTGCACCCAAACCACAGAGATCGGGAAGGATGTAAGGGGAGAGTTTTTTTTTTTTTTTTTTTTTTTTTTTTTTAATGGTTGTGAGGTGTCGGGGAGATTACCCAGGGAGGATGTCCCGCAGGGGGCTTTTGGTGACAGGCGTTAAGCCCCCTGTCGGCACATCGGGCCCCACCCACTTTTTACCCAGGGATCACTCAAGATGGGAACTCTCAGACCTCGCCACACACCCCCGAGAGTATTAGTCCAAACCGGAACTACCAGGCTGCAAGCGGCAGGGTATACCCCCCTTGAACTCAGGGTCCTGCATCCCTGAAGCGCCCCGGCCAGGAGGCTGGGAAGCACCCAGTCACCAGGTGCCGCAGCGATGAGAGTCACTCCTTCATGGAAGGGGGTAGACCCTTCGCCCCTCTCGGGTACTAAGCCCTACCGAGCCTTTCCCCTCCCGAAGCAACCCCCCCCCACGGCCTCGACGCACCGCCGTTCCGAAGGTTCCGGAGTTGGCGCTAGGGGCTAATACATGCTGGGCCCCCTTTCGGAAGGAAGCCCAGACCAGGCCTATACGCTTGGAACCTCAGATATATCCGTTCCCCCTGGCAGCACGCCTACTCAGTGTGTGAGTGGTAGTGTGGCAATCTAACACCCTGCCGATGGCATATGCACGAGGTTGCGGGGGTTCGAGCCCGCAACCTCAAACCACGATGTGTATTTCCAACCGGTGCCCTAACCACTGGGCCATCCACCACCCTCTTTTTTTTTTTTCTCTTCAGGCTGGAGTGTTGAATGCTGGCGAACAATTTGTGGATCACCCAGGTGGTATTGAAACCCCGACATGTCCTGGGTTGTTTGCTTGTCAGTTAGTCACAAATCATCGATATGGGGCAGTTCATCGGTTGGGGGGGGGGGGGCTTAGTTGGGGGAGCAACATGCGAAGGCCCACAAAGCCCCTACTTAGAGTTCCCCCACCCGTTTCACAAAGTAAAATTAGCAGCACTGGAAATAGCAGTTTATTGCACACCTGCAAACCTAACACTCCATCGCAGCACCTGCTAGATGTACAGGCATGCGATAAAGTCCTATAAGGACAAGCGTTGTGATAGAGTTCTAAATCAAAGGAGACTGCGATAAATTCAAAGGACCACAGGAGCTACGAAATGGTCCAAGAACTACATGTGCTGCGAAAAACCCTTCAACCACAGGCGTTGCAGCACACACAAAGATAATAGATGAACGAACCAGGAATCACAACTGCAGCACACAATTTAGCAGGAGTGGGATTAACACTTTACTGCACGTGCTGCAATATAGTCCTATATCCACGTGGAGCAACATGCCGAGGCCCACAAAGCCCCAGCTTAGATTCCCCCCCACCCTTCTCACAAAGCCAACCCCGAAAACAAACATTGGCGTAAGCCGCAAGGCATGTTCAAGATTGATTTTTTGCATTTCACCAGAGGAAAAAGAAGAAGACCAAACATGGGTAGCAACTCTGTGAAATAAAACAAATTTGTGGGTGCACCAGAGAATCTGCCCAGGTTCAAGCAGAATGAAACGAGCACATGCATACTAGCATGAACCACTGAATTTCACGTTGTGACGTTGGGGGTCGAAAATTTGAGAAACCCGACAATCCAAAATTTTGTGATGTGGGTGAAGTTTAACCAAAGTCTGATAACCCGACAAAAGAAACTAGTTTGGCTTAAAGCTCGAGTAAACATTTAGCTTTGAAGGTAGCAAAAATCGCAGACAGAAGCAAAATACGAAAATACTTTGGAATGATTAAGAAAAAAGACACCCAATACAGCCCGCAAAAAATGGCTTAAAACTGAAACTGTCTCGCACTGCAAAGTGTGATGTCTACCAGAAACCGGCAAAAAATGGCTTAAAACTGAAACTGTCTCGCACTGCAATTTGTGATGTCTACCAGAAACTATGTAAAGGCCTGCCAAAAAGAGACGACTGAAAAATACCTGTGAAATGTGTCACTATCCGGCTAAAGATTAGCGTCTCAAAACAGAAAGAGGCAAGGCTCAGACAAAACAGGCCCTACGAAGTGTCTCATTGTCCTGCCAAAAAAAGTACCAACTGAGAGGGATGACTTGTAACTTCTAAGGTCATCATACAACTTCTTTGACAAACAAACAAAAATCTGAAAACCGAAGGGGGATTAGAAAATGGGCCTGACAGTAATTCACAGAAAGGAAAACGAGCTACTGTCAACCTGCAAAGTAAACACTCCTTGACACTAGCAACACACCTAAAAGTTATCCTAAACTGATGTAGATTTTAGACGGAGTGAAGCAGTAGCTACTTCCATGGCATCAGCATCAGCAACGACGGCAAGAACAAGAGTAGTGGCTGGAATAACCAAGCTGCGGCAGCAGCACAAGCGACAGAGGCCGCAACAGCATAAGTGGTGGAAGGACGAGCAAAACCCCTACAACAACAGTAGTGCCAACAACAACAGCAATATATAGGACTACATAACTGCAACAGTAAAAATGCCAGTGGCAATGTAGGACTACAAAACTGCAGTAGCAGAAATAGCAGAAGATATAGAACTGCAGTTATAGAACTATGTAACCGCAGCAGTAGAAATGTCAACTGCATAAATAGAACTACAGATCTGCAGTAGTAGAAATGTCAGCGACAATATAGGACTATAACAAGCGACAGCGTTTCAGGACTAAAACAACAGCAATACACGACTCAAATACAGCAGGAGATGCAGGACAAAAACATGAGGAGCAGTGGAGAAACCAGAACTTGAACAGCAAAAGCAGTGGATGGCGGCTTCAAAGCGAGGCAAAAGAGACAACGAGCAAACCAGTGGCGAGGGGAATTTCAAAATTTCAAAACTTTCATCTGCCACCAGAAAAATAAAATGAAGTCTGCACAGTCCTCGGCCTTTCCTTCCAAGAGAACCTAATCACTTGAGGGTGAATGGTTGCTCATGACCGCCACTTATTGGGCAAGGTCTACCTCGGCTTCTGCCGGAATGCAACTGAACGACATGTGCACACTAAAAAAGTTGGGACATGTACTGAGGCACAGATCTGAAAACCACTTGCAAGAGCGTAGATCACGTATAGTCTTATAACAAAAAGAAGTTATAGAACTATTTGTGCCCTTGCAAGAGCTCACAGACCTGTACCCAGGCAGATCACTCCTTTGACCTACATAGACACATATCTGAAAACTATTAGCAACAACGCAAATGAGCTATAGTCTTATAACGAAAAGCTGTTATAGAACTATATATGCCCTTGCAAGAGTGCACAGACCTGCACCTAGGCAGGTCAACGTACACGACTGCGTAGACCTACCACGACGTCGCCCTTGGAGGAAACCACCTCCTCTCCATGGAGCTTTCGTTTGCGACCTCGAGTGTTGTCGATCGCTCTGCTGGAATCCTGACGTTGTGCCTGATCCTCCCTCTGAGGATCCGCAGACAGTCTAGTGACCTCGCCTGTCCCGATGGTGACTGCCCTCCGATGAGACAGTTCGCCTTCCTCACGCTCGCTCCGAGACGCTGGCAGCTTGCGCCTCTTTCGCGCTGCATCGAGATCCTCCACCTCCACGCCATGTTGAATGGCGGCAGTCACACCTCCGTCTGTCGCAGAAGGTACATTCGCACTCTGCTGCTGATCAGCAGGCTGCGCCACATCCGTTCGCTGATCAGCAGGTAGCGCCACATCCGTCGCTGCCTCTCTGCTGGCACTGGCCTCCGCTGTAGACTTGCCCGCTGCTAAACAACCAGGCATCGACTCTCAAGTCTCCGGGGTCTTTTCGTGTGACACCGGTACGTAGTCTCCGGACACCTGAATGTCCGCATCCTGCTGTTCCTTTCCCTTGCCCTTTCCCTCTCTCGGCTTTTCTCTTCTTAATGTCTCCTCGATGTCGGTGAGGAGTCTCATTTAGACTCCCTTTGCACAACGTTTGTCCAGTTCCACAACAAGACAGTTCCTGTCTGCCAAAACGCAGGCAATGGCCCCTGTGCCTGAGCCAGAGAAGCCGTCCAAAACCGTGGCGCCGGGACATGAGAACTTCCTGACCAACCAGGATTACAGAGTGTACGACTTTTGGTACGGACACAACACCAAGTTGTCACTCGGGTGCATAAACTTGCGCGTGACCGTATCAAAAAGCTGAAAATTATGGCGGGGATCAGTCGGGGAAAAGTTATAATGAGCCATCTCACGCTGCCGCATCACATTATAGTACCCCAACACACAGAACTCCGTCGCGCTGACAAGCCTGGGGCCACCGGGATTTGTCATGTTGGGCTTGCACCACGTGAGAAGCTTTTGGCCAGCACTGCACACTTTCGCAAACGCAGACGGCACTGAGGGAAGCATGTCCACAGAGCAGAAACCAGCGACTGTTCACAGCGCTGCGTTGGTTACCTGCTTGACATTCTGCAACACATCCACAATGTCATGCTCAGGGAATGGCTCCGTGTCACGTGCATGACCTTTGTGGGCGAAACCATGGGGAAAGTCAAAGATAGCGAGAGAAATCAGCAGTTTTTCCTTCTGCAGGTGTGACAAATGCAGCATGTCACCCTGAATCACCTTGACCAGGCCTGCGCACCCATCATGTTTCACCTCCGTCCAGTCAGCGAAAGGCTCGTCCAAAGCCGCAGCTCGAAAGAAATCACAACTTGCTCTTTCTGCCTCCTTTATTCTCTTGTCCCCCATCTTCCTCCACTGCTTGGCTCATTCAATGCGGTCCAACAAAGCAGTGGGCTTAGCCCCGCGCCTGTCAAAACTGCCGATGAAGAGTTCAAGAACCTCCTTTGTGGTGTGCAAAGGATACAATTCTTCAGCCGTTTTGAAGTCCTTGCACTTAACACCATCGCAGACGGTCTTCGCGACGTAGCCAAACTTCCTCTCCATTTCGTCGAGGGAGATCTGTTTGGAGATGACCTCCGTCAGAATAGGGACGATTGCTTCCGGAGGGATGTTGCCCATCGTAATCCATGGTTGCGCGGGCATGTCACACGGCACCATCGGGACTTTGTTGTCCTTTAACTTCAGGCGGGGATTGAAAAACGCCATCTCCTGTTCCCTTGCTGCCGCCTTGTCCAGCCTTTTCCCTTTCCGTGTCTGCTTCCCGCCTTCAGATTCGCTGGATTCAGGAGCGACCTCTGTACGAATCTGGCTCTTTGCCAAAGGCTTCAGTTTCTGGTCCTTCACCTCTCCCCTCTTCCACATCTAAAAAATCTTCAACTGCAGGTCCCAGATCTCTTTCGGGCGCATAGCAATCTGCAACAGCAGGTCTATGGTCTGCATCTTCTTTGGATTGACGGGTATCCCATATTCGCGCAGGCAGGCTATCTTGACATCCGCCAACATTTCATCTTTTCGATGAAGTTCATGTCCCTGTGGTAACCAGCTGCCAGGTTGTGCTTATGTGCCACCTGCCTTGCTTCATCCGTCGACAGGCCTGCATAGACATAGCAAACATTCCAGTTGTAGTCGTCCTTATCCGGGTAGATCTTTCGCAGCCGTTCTCTCTCCTCCCGACAATGTCCACCTCCAAGCACGTAAATGTTGTAACCGCCACTTCTCAACCGCTCGAGATCCACTTCCGACTTGTCTTTCACCTCCACGACACAAACGAAGGGAAGATGATCTCCAATCGGGCAAGCAATCATGGAGTCCATGAGCGTTGAGACATGATCTTCATCGGGCTCGCGAACCTCCAAAGGCCTGTTTCCGGTCCCATCCACCGGTGGTCTCTTGAGATATGTCATGGGCAGATAAAACGGCTCTTGGGAGATTTTCTTCTGCTGCAAACTTTGAAGTTCGTCCCAGGCCCGTGCCATCTCGTCGGTTAAGTTCGCCTGGCACGAAACCTCGAGGTACTTGCAGCTCCTCTTGTGCAGCTTTCTCTTTCTCTTTCTTAGACGAAGTACCTGTCCCTTTCCCTTTCTCAGACGCAGCAGGCTCAAAAGCGCACATCTTCTATTTTTCCCCCTTCGCTTTCGTGCCCGACCCTCTCTCTAGAGCTCCTGATGAAGGCGGAGAAGGCGGGGGAGGCGAGGGGAGGCGGGAGGGCGCGGGGAGGGAGGCGGGAGGGCGCGGGGAGGCGGGAGGCGACGAAGG